CCGTTGGCTTTATTTGCCCCTGTTGTTATAAAGTAAAGTTCTATACGAGGTGTTTTACTCAATTCTCTAAAGTCCGCGCTTACAAAGCCCCTTCCCCGATATAACAATTCGCTTGAGAACACCGAAAAGAGAAACAGCTTTTCTCAACGCTTTAATAGTACAACTGGCATCGAGGGATAGAGTATGCTCTTAAAGGACATACTTGATAACATAATCAATCATTACTGACGCGTATTTCTTTTCTGTCGCTTTTGCCACTTAATGTCCCAGTCATATCTATGTGAATAGTATGCCAATAAAATGTATGCAAATCCTTAGGAGAATTTACATGGCCAAAATAGCAATAACCCCACTGAATAAAATTTGGAGAGATAGGAAAATTATTAATGGAACAAAAATGCATCTGATACGAACGCTTGCCTTCTCTATATTTCTATCTATCTAGCTATCCGATTCTGTATAGTGCAAAGACGTGGACTATGAAAGTCGTTGACAGGCAAAGAATTGATGCCTTAGGAATGTGGTGATGACGAAGTATGTTACGCATACCTCAAAATATGGTCAGCGCTTATCTAATATCTATTTGCAGCACATACTGGCGTTGATTGGTCAGTTCCCTGACAGAACTACGGACAGCTTTAAACGTCCGCTAGTGATTGAAAAAGTGGACGGTAACCGAACTAGAGGACTAAATCCCAAAAGGTGACTGGACCAAATCCCAGAACACCTAAAAATACCTGCCTGCGTTGCACTCCATCAAGAAACTAAACGTGTCTATCTCAGTATGGATATGGTTGATTTAAGTCCATACAAGGGACTGATGGACGATAGGTTACCAACGACTAACTTTGTTTCGCTCAATTTTTTTTCGATATAGCATATTGTTTCTAACATCGTAGATGTGACTAATTGAATCGGGAAACTTATTATTTAAGAGCTGAGCAACAATATCTTGAACATATGCATCACGTTTTTGTTCTACCGCTAACCACCCTTGATTTACCTCTACAAACTGCACAGACTTATTAACTACTTGAGCCTTGCTTTTGTCGCTCTTGGAAGTGCCCTGCTCAGGGTCATCTATGTACTCTCGGTGTTAATTTTTTTTTTTTTTTTTTTTTAACTAAGAAGCTTTGAAAGGATTGCCACCCGTGAAAACGATAAAATGATGACCATATAGCTTTTGCTTCAAATATTCTTCCGCTCGAACGACTGCCGAGGTCTCAAGTTCATAAGAATGATACTTTTATTCCGTGTCAGTTTTCCGGCGACTGAAATATGAAATAACGTGAGGAACTCCGTGCTTTCATTTAATTAAAATGGTACCGTATCCGTTGGCGCTGGCATTCGTGTGTAATTCTATAGGAGGCTCGCGATCAAATATAGTTAGAATAGACTCCGTGGTAAGTATTTGAACTATCCATTTACGAATATTACCGTGGACTTCTGACCGTTTAATTAAACCCTTTAACTTAGTGAGTAGACATAAGGATCGTACTAGGCGGAAATAGTTCGGTATAAAATTTCTAAAACAAAAGGCTTACTATAAGAATTGGTGTTAATCTCCCTAGAGTCAACATACATTATGTCAGAGTTGTCATTCGGTTTTTTTTTTTTTGACAATTAGAATGGGGCTTGATAAAGTGTAAAATGATTGTTTCAAAGAGGGCATCCATTTTTTTTTTTTCGAACAACCTCTTATAATTTGTAAGGTCTCTCTTAGACTATGTTAGGGTCTAAAGAATTAGGGTCTAAAGAGTTAAGAGGTGCCCTTAATAATAAAATGAGTTATACTTCTTAAAAACATCGATAAGGGCTTTGTTATCGTCGCCTTCCAAATAAGTTTTGATACAAGAAAAGTTAAGACTGTCTGAGGTTGGGCACTTATCTGTTTTTGTCGTTTCAGGTTTTGAGAAAATAATGTAGTCACTGTTTATCTCTCCTTTAACCCCCCACTCTACAAGGTCCCGTCCAACAACCACGGATTCAAGAATAATATTCTCTTTAATAATATGAAACAAAAGAGACACTGAAACACTTTGAATTATGACCGGGCTTAAAATTTGTGTATTACAATAAGTCTCCGATGCCTTTCAGGGGAACTACTTCATTGCTCAAAGTACACAGAAATTTATTTGAAAAATTTTCAGATACAGACACACATTAGTACTACATGAACAAGTACACCCACTACTAAAAAGAAAAGGAACAGTCTCACCAGATGACGTCGTCAACTCCCCTCGGCTCGGCCCATGGTCACACAGATATCTCCTTCACCGGCGAGCCTCAATTACCGGTACCTTTTACGATCAAGACACGACGAGACGTCCTAACCCTTATATCTGCTTCCGTACGATCCAGATTGAACCGGATCAACTACGTCGTCGAAGTTAGTTGAGAAGTTGACATTATTTTCATCGACAAGTTTCTCATTATTTTTTTACAAAGTTTAACATAGATGGATGATCACTACTCTCCTCATTTTAAAGCCCTTTCGATCCCACTTCTGATGTAGGAGGGCGTTATAAGAACAGGAGGGCCTTCATGGGAACTCATACTTTGAAAGGGATAAAGTACAGTCTATTCAATACGACACCAACTCAATCGAAACACTAGATATCACTATCACTTCGATACACAGCGATTCGTCACGAGCGCGGTGCGCGGGCGTCATCTCGCACGATACTCCATCATAAAGATGGCCGCCCTCGCTACCATCACAATGACGCTTCACTAGGCTAACCTCAGACAGCTAAAAGTCAACCTGACGTATGATTTTTGACGGATGCGCCGTCAAATAAAATAGTTCCTAATATTTCCGTTTAAGAGACAACAAACCTATTTCTAGAATATTACAAAACATTCTCGTTTACTTAAACAATAAGAATATTCTAGTATACGTATATTTAGCTAAAACTTTCGTCCACCCGTCCCGAGATGGCGCTGCCACCTTAAGTTCGATAATATTGTACCGTTATTAGTTTTTATATTGTAACGTGGAGAGTATATTTATTATTTCCCGCCCTTTAAGCTGGCACGACAATTTAAAAAATTATATTCATTTGAAGTATTTAATAAATTTTCTGGAACATATGAATTGTGACCAAACAAAACAATACAGGCAACAATTTTGCAACATAATGTCAATATTCATACATACATAGATACATATAGTCTTTAACAACTCGTATTATTACGTTTAATCGTTAATAAATAAATAATATTTTTTAACAAATATTGAAACAAACAATGGAAGTTTAATTTTATCACTTTGCATCGTCAGACTACATACTAAACGGTTCCCGCATCTTATTCAATATGCTACGTTAATATAACATGGAAAGTTTAGGAACAAACAATTTTTAAATCTCGAGATCATCTTACTGTCCCCATACATCATATGATAGTTAACCAAAAACACTAAAATAACTACATTTTTATCTATCGCTTCATTCGCACTGGAATCGTGGAATATTTTGATAATTTCAACGTTTTGTATTTGTTAAACGAATTATTATCTTAATAGTACTGTTTGGAGAAAACGAGAAGGCGTTTGTCGAATTAAATCAAGGGAGTTATAATTTCTTTCTTTTTTTTAGAAGACTAGTTATCATAAATATATTTATAATTAACACGTGCTTTCCATGTGAAACTAGAATCAGGCATTTGCTAGACTTTATTCAACCATCTATCTATGTACATGATTAGAGTACTATACAGTTATTCCAAGTTTTCGTCGTCAAACTGCATAGGTACGAAACATTTCCAGTTTGTCATTCATAAATCTACGAACATCTATGTACATCTTCATTTAAAAAATGTAACAAGTCCTAAGTAAATCGTATCTAATAATAACATAAATTATTTATCACTAATACAAATTATGAGTGCATTTAATATAGTCGTATAAGTATTTAATATCAGACACATGATAATTATACTCACTGCAATTAGAAATCGAAGTGGCACTTGAACCATGACAGGTAATATAAGAAATTAATATTGTATGCTATAAAACTCAACCAACTTGCTATAAGCAAGATTTGACGTTTTGTTTTGGCATATAAAAGTTTTTAATTTGACATTGACTATGACACCTAATTATTTTGTTTGAAAGTTTTTATTTATTTTACGTAGTCGTATTATTTAGTAGTTAGTTTTTAAGTCAACCTGCCAACCTTCAAATTCTTTAGTCTTATTCCAAACAAGCAAAAAATACTATTATTTTTATTACATAAATATTAAGTGTGGTATAATAATTTATTTAATTATTTTTAAAGTAAATAAAATCAGAATAAATTAGTTATAACAAAAGATTATAAGTATAAAAACAATATAAGAGAAATCTGGTAATATAAATACTTTTATTTCTGCCATTCACCATAAGCATAAACAGTAGCAACTTGTTAAGAGACGACTTCAAAATTACGATTCTTATACGATCTTGCAAAGAATATGCAAATCACAAGTAATTTGCAAAACTGAGACAATAGTAATAATAATTATTAACAATAAAACGGAATAAACAAACATTGGAATAAATTAAATTATTTCCACCAGTCATGAATGAACTAGGAAATAGCTAACTATCCTATCCGTTGGCATTACGTATGTAAGCTAGGGCTCTTCGTGGTAGCTTATGTTCTACGGCTTCCTCAATTATATTTATCATCAGTTAAATGTATTTATTTCCTGATCGTTTATTAACATATGTAAAAGTAACTAAAATCTTCTTTCTAAACATTTTATATAATATGAGTTACTAAGTCAATTTTTTAATAAATGTATTACTAAATAATTATAAGTTTTATTAACTTTTAAGGATTAAGAAGTTCATAAAATTACACACGTAGCGCCATCTACTTATTATAGCTGGAACTTAAATTTGAATAATATTGTTCTCATGTTCAACAACAGATGGCGCTGCTGCGATACTTTTACTATTGTTTAAATATACCAACCGTAAAAGTGAAATATCTTATTTGTTGTATTTATAATTTTTAATATGTATATTTATATTGTATGCACTTTAATGTAATCCATATAATTAGACTAAAAATACAAATAAAATCATTACTTTTGACAAAAAAAAAATCAAAATTATGTTACAAAAAAAACCTATACAATGGAGGCATTGTTAAATCTGGTTTGTTATAACTTATAACCGCCATTAATCGTTATAATGCTTGCGTAGGATCCATTGAGTAAATGTACGTACGTCATGGGCTGTTTGTCATTAAAGATAAGGGTTATCAATCTCACCTTTGGTGGTTGCGAGAGTGCTTGGTCTCTGCGCGGGGCGGTGGGCGACTGGTTTACGCGGGGAGGGAGGGGGGGCGAGCGAGGTCCGCGCCCGCACTGACACCGGCGAAGACGATAATTTTTGCACGACGCCATTTTTCTTTGCTGTAGATTACAACATTATTGTTATATTTTATCCAAACTACACGCACTTGACGTATAATATATTTTATATTGTCATATTTACGTGTCAACAAAGAAAACATACGTAATTTATCTTATTAATGAACCCTAATATACATAAATAAGTTACATAGTAGACATAGATTTGCAAGTTACAAATCGTAAGTAATATAAACAAGTCGTTTGACACACTTTTTTAAGGACACCTACAGCGGTCTATTGTTTTATAAATATTGCGCAACCTATCACAATCTATATGCATATTTAAATTCTTATAGATTAATTAAAAGCGTTTTGTTTTAAACAACTTTTATTTTCTATGATGTTATTTAGTTATAACTCACATATTCTTAACGTGAATACTTTCGACTTTCATTTAACTGTTACGTCAGCCACTTAAGATGAGGAGTTATCATTTTGTTTTTAGCTTCACAATATTTTACCATGTAACATGTAGCTTGGTGCAACGACACGGTATGACGTCACACCGATTTAAGGTCGATTTGTGAACCCTATTTTAATATATTATATTTATAAGGGGAAAGAGTTCTAGTGTATATTATACTTTTAAATTATTTTTTTCTTTGTATTTACTGTACATAATATTCGAAGTTTATAATTGAACAATTCTTGTAGTAATGTCTGCTTTATATATACATATATCGAATTATCATTTACAATGAAAATTTCGTATATGGATTTCTTTATAAGTGAAGTATTGAAGTGAAATGAAGTTAAAATATTTTTTTATTATGACGATAAAAAAAATATTTTCGAGTTCATAATGCATGAAGTGAATGTCGCATAGTTTTTATGGGGTCTGTGTTAGGGTTAAACGTGGGTAACCCACTGACTCACCCACTGTCGGGGGTTGTGGCGCCGTCTGGGGTCGACTAGGGGTTGTAGGGGTCGGGACGCTATCACGCTTTTTCCCATTTCCTGGAAATAGCATACTTAATATCATTCATACATACTTATACAAACAATAATTTAACATTCTAGTATAAAGATATAAAAATATATGAATTAATTTTATCTTATAGTGTATTTTCTTCCATACATTTTGATTTATAATTAATATGAATTAATACGTAGATAAAAATAATATATCAATTTTCACGAACAGGTCGTAAACGTCGTAATACGTGTACATAATGAGGTAACACTTTCTAAATAGTAAGTCGTTCAGGTGTTGGATTTCAGAGTCGAATGTCGATCATCTTACAGTTAAGACACTTCAATGATACTCATGATTTGATATCGAATTTACTTATATTTGACGGAATTACGCAATATGACGGACAAATATTACTTACTGCAACAAAAAATATATATTATATTGCTATTTTGAAATATTTGTTGTATTAATTTATAGACTAGAAGAACAAAACTAAGAATTAATTAAGCATTTTTTAAGTCAAATAAGTTATTACTTTTGATTAAATAAATGTAGTTCTTTTATAATAAAAATCATTTAAATTTTGATAATATTTTTTAATACCGATAATTATCTTTTATTTTGCAACATAAAAACATTTTGCTGGCGCTACCAGATAAATATCTCATACCCGTGAGAAGATTGCACAACACGAATGATAAAGAAAATAAAAAACAATGAGAAAACGTATCGGTATGCCTACCACAAGTTTGAATAAAACTACAGCTGGAGCGTTAAGTATTATCATACATATTCGCTTATTTTTGGTCAGGTAGAGAGAGGAGCTTGGACGATGGAGGTGACCGTTTAACGCGCGTTATATAGGAGCCTTAAACCTACACCTGGGTCGCAAGTCCCAGGCATTGTTAAAGCTCCTCTCCCTGAAACGATGGACCCGGCACCCGCACGGCGAATCCATTGAACGCTAAGAAATTTCGTCGTCATATCATATATATATACAGTGCCCTCCAAAAGTTAGTTGAAATGATCAATAATGTAGTAAATGTGAGGAAATTATAATAAAACCAAATAAAATCGTGGCTTCAAGAATTATTTATTAAAATATAATCAATTTAGAATATTTCTGTCAGTAAGAGAATCATAACAAATTTTATAATTATAATTTATGTAGATTAACAATGAAATCACGTTACCAAAAGTTAGTTGAAATTGTTGAAAAAATATTTTAAGGCTTGTGTCTTTGCAAATATTTTAACTTTTAATATTTTGTATGACCGCCATTATTCTGTAGAACTGCTTTAAGTCGTCTAGGCATTGATTCTACAAGATTCTGTAATGTTTTGACCGGTATAATCGACCATGTTTCAAGAATTTTATTTTTAAACAAATTCTTGTAGCGTCTTATGGAAACAGGGATCCTGCGGTCTAATTCATCCCATAAATGTTCAATGGGGTTAAGGTCGGGTGACATCGAAGGCCATTCCAGTAAATCCACTTCGTTATCTTCAAAGTATTGTTTAGTTATCCTTGCTGTATGCTTCGGATCGTTGTCTTGTTGGAACTTGAAAATCCGACCTAACCCCATTGTTTCAGCAGATTGTTTTAAATTGTCACGGAGAATATTACAATAGACCTGTGCTGTCATCTTGCCTTCAATTACTTGCAGTCGGCCCACACCATGCCAAGAAAAACACCCCCAAACCATCACACTCCCACCGCCGTGTTTCACAGTGGGCTGCAAGTATTTGTCGCCGTAAGAGTTATCATTGCTTGTGCGCCATACAGTTTGCCGACGGCGATTTCCAAATAGTTCGAACTTCGATTCATCGCTAAAGACTACTCTCTTCCAAAATTCTATTGGTTTATCCGAATACTTGCGGGCGAACTCCAACCTTCGTTTTTTTGGATCGATGTTAAAAGAGGTTTCTTTCTGGCAATGTGACCTCGTAAATTAGCATCATGCAGGCGTCGCCTGGTAGTAGTTTCAGAAACCGAGGTCCCTGCTTCCTGTAATTGATCTTTGATCTCTCGTACCACAATCTTGGAATTAATTTTACACTGCCGCACTATTTGTCGATCATCAACAGAAGTAGTAGCCCTAGGACGCCCTGACCGTGGCCTATCTGCAAGACTAAGACATTCTAAACTTTTCTTTATTATTTTTCGGACACCTTCTGGACTAACTTTAAATAATTTTCCCACAGCACTAAAGTTTTTAATTTTTTCGTATTCATACACAATCTTTATTCTTTCTTCGACAGTTAATTTTCGTCTCGGAGCCATTATTAATTCAAAAACAGTCAAATCACCTTACAATATCTTATTATTAAATTTAAACTACGCACACTGCCTTAACAATAATAATAAATGAATTTAAAACCGCGAGAGTATCGGATATCGTTTAAAGTTTCCTATTTCAACTGACTTTTGACGCGCTCAATTCAAGTAGTGCACACATAAACATAGATTTTGAAAGAAATCAAAATGAATTTCGGGGAATTCCCTACTGTACGTATTAGAATAGTGTATCCAAAAATAAATAGTAAACAGTTCATTCATAGAAACTGCGTATTTTGGAAAATATATAACATCATTGATAAGGTGAACTAATTTCAACTAACTTTTGTAGGGCACTGTATATATCATATTTTCCCTAAAGGTAGCACTTCACTTGGCGTTTATTTGTTGTGTTCGGCCAAATAAGACGATGTTTGGAGGATTTATTCATCTTCATTTGACATATTTGCACAAATAAGATACATACACAAATAAGCGTAAACGCGTAACGTGTTGTTGTCATGCCAAGTGTGGATGTCGTGTTTGCGCTATTTGGACTGCGTACAAATATTTGGACATATGCGCCGAATACTCTACGCAAATAGGGAACGCCAAGTGAGGTTTTTAAATTAAACGAGAAACTCTTCGTATGTAGTGTGACGATAAAAACTTGTGGTAGGCGTTTTACGTACGTCACGTTGTGTATAGCGTAGAAAGTTACTAAGAGTATTAGATGTTGAGATAATATGCCAGCTGTATTTTATATCACATGCGAGCACTTCTACTGCTTCTTCGAACATACCCTTTCTTTACATAAAAGCAATACTTTATGCATTTAATAGGAATAATTTATAATATATTCAAAAATTTAATAGAATAGAGCTTTGGTATTAACTACACTTTTCTAATAAACTTTACTAAATTATGGTTTTGTATTGTTTATTAGGAACAATATTTTTTTCTATTAAATAGAAAGCATTTAATCTTATTTCATAAAATATTATAGTAGTATTTGGTTTATACTTATAAATTACCATATATTATATTTAATTGCTTTGATTGAATAAGAAATTTAAAAAAATAAAAACACACACGCACACACAACAGACATAATCACGTATACACATTGACTGCAGCAATTTACTGACGCATACGATCAATAAAAAAATAATGATTTAACAGTAATTTTTCTTATATCCCGACAAGATATCTTATTGTATTACACCATAATTAGTAAAAATAAATTAACAAGAAAATATTTAGACACAAATTTCATTTAATACAATGAATAAAATCATAATGAATCCATATTTAAAATTATAAATTCCCGCTAAATTGAAGACGTTATTCTATGTACAATGACGTATTAAATACTCACCTCTGGCACCAAAGGAACCGAATCTCTCACGATTGACGGCCAATTTATATTTTTTATCCGCCTTATCGCTAGGGACGGGCAGTTTGGACGGATATTTCTCGGAACTACTCCTGCAGAGTTTCTCCTTTGACCCGTGTGCCCCCATTTTCAGGATCTTCATCAATTGCACATTATTTTTCTATTTAAATCATAATTTAGGAACTATTCGTACATCACTATTGAAAGTCATCCCACGAACAACTATAAAGTATAAATTCATTTCAATATTTACACAGCGGTTCTCTTAATATTTTGTGCGTCAAAACTTTAGTGTTAATTTTACAAAGGTAAATAGAATTATATATAATATAATGTGTTTGTGAAATAATATTATAATGCATACGTTTCCAATAACACACACGTGCTTAATGTACGTTGATATAATTGCGACGGCTTCGTCTATTTCGGTGGCAAACTCGGAACGACCAATATAATTAGAGCTGTTACAAGTGTACCAGTATAGCTACTAGGAGAAGTTATAAAGCAAACTGTTTATTTTATTTTTATGTTATTTAGTTCAAAATCATGTTGATATTTGCATGAATTTATACGGTTAATATGGTTAATCTTTAAGTTTAAGCCTTCGAAGATGCTAATAATTATCTTCGTAAATAAGATTTAGGTAATACGTATAAAGTCTCGCGAAACAAACGGCTGAATTATATAAAGCGAACACATAGATCAACTTAAAATGGTCCTGTATTAGGAGCGTTGCTAAAGATGAGCGCTTTCTCGGAACAGTTGCTTGTTTGTTAGCGAGGGAATAAGATAAGATTTAATAATACATTGTAATAATACAAACAGTACGAAATAAAATTAAAGAAAAATACTTTAATAATTATACGTACTCTAAGTCTGAATTGTATACTACATAAGGAGAGTTAAACGTTTCATTTCTATAATCTCGTAATAAAATTAGGTAGGTTTTTAAACAAGAAACTTACAGTACGTAGTGTGATGCGGATTTATGGTAAGCATGCAAAACACTACTGTGTTGGAAAGTGTTGTTCATTTCCTGGCAATATGCAAATAGATAGGCCTCACAAATCAAAGTTATTAACTTGTATGTATACTTACTTGTATTACTTTATATATCAGTATATGTATGTGAAATCATAAAGCTATATAATAAATCACCTAGCGAGATCTTATTGCAGCTAGAATTATTTTTTTGCGACGTTCTAAACTGTTTTCTCTATATTAACTTTTTTTTACAACCAAGTAAAAATATCATACTTTCTATGAAGAATAGATTTTCAATTTTATACTCTACGTATCTGGCTAATTAAATCTATGTTTATCATTTAATTTAATCCGTACAAGACGTATTAATAAGTCACATGGTACAACAAAAAGTATACAAAACTTGTCCCCACAATATTTAGCTTTCCCATAATAACGTATTAGTCAGACTAACATAAGCGTGTGTTACAAGTTCTAAGAGATTTGTGTCTATTTAAGAAACATCAGTTTCAGGGTTAAATAACTTAAAGACGCACCGTGTCCTTTCAAACGATATTTTAAACAGCTCTAGTGTTGCGATATATTTAGTTCATGGAGATAAATGACTCCGATATAAGTGCTCCGCGGTAACTGTATATATAATGCATTTGTCACGGATTATTTTTAACTTAAGTGGATTTCTATTACTACAATAAAAGAAACTTATTATAGCAAAATCAAATTAAATAGTTTAGGTTTTAATTCGTCACTTAATAGGTAATTTAAACAATGTTACTTCAGCTTTATAATGTATTGTATAGTACCATTAAACGCATTCAAAGCGTGCGCGTGCGCAGCTACAGTTTGCAATAACTCATTAAATCTCATGTTATGATCTTTGAAATGATGTCGAGCATACAATATAAGAGCATATGTTGATATTTTATGCCATAGCCCACTAAATAATATACTTTTAAATATAAAGAAACCTTTTGAATAGAAGAGATGTATTAACAAGTATATCAATTTTAAATATGTACTTTCAAAATAAAGATTATTTATAAACATCGAATAACGGATATCATTACAATAACATGAAGAAGAAACAAACAATTGTTTATTAAATACTAAATAGAAACAATTATAAGCAATTTAAAAACATTGTTTTAGTTCACGACTGCACAGATTAAACAATAACTAACATGTTATGTCAAACTATACTGACATTTTCATGTCAAATGCAATCATTTGACATGACTTCAGTTACGTAAAAACAATGATTGCATTTTAAACTTATTGAACGGGCGAAGTCGCGTGTAATAACTAGTATGTAAAATGGTACAATACTCATAACCTTGAAGATACAAGTTGTGTTTCTCACATTTATGTTAATAACTTAAACACAATCCACGTCTGAAGACGATTAAATTTAAAATAGCAAGAATCTTTGTATGTATTCGTATTTCGTAAGATTATTATATGTGTATAGCAAAATTAAAACGCTTATTTAGTCATAATATATATTGTCTAGTTTATTAAAGAATAATTATGTTCGGAGAAAATAATTATAAATGTTTTAGTATTTATAACTAGTTGAATTATTATTATTGCTTGAGACAAAATAAAAAATTGCAGCTATAGAGGCAAAAACGTACAAAATAAATTACAGAATTATATTATTTTATAGCAATTAAATTTGTATATTAATATTGAAAAACTGTACATAAGAAGTTATTACTGGCAGAAAAATATAAGCACCTATGTTTAAAAAATATATATAAAAACTTGCCATACGTATGTATGTTCGAAGTGTTGCGTCATTTAATTTTGAACAAATATTAAGACTGATGTATAATGAGATCTAAGATTTTCGCGAGTATTCATTTAAATTAAAGTAATATTTTTCGGAGGTACTACGCGATTTTTAGCAAAACTGTAAAGTAACCGAAACGTCGGGAGTATGTAGTTCATAATCCCTGCTAATATTATAAATGCGAAAGTAACTCTGTCTGTCTGTCTGTTACGCTTTCACGCCTAAACCACTGAACTGATTTTAATGAAATTTGGTACAGACATAGAGTTGACCTTGAGAAAGAACATAGGATAGTTTTTATCCCTAACTTTAGAAAGAAAGCTAAAAATAAAAATCGCGTAGTACATCTCTAAAATATTAGTTTCATTTAAGACGGATGTAGTTTATAACACTCGGCGACCATTGTTAAGCTCCAATAGCGAGCTTATAACATATGAATAGAGGTCATGAATACCGTCTTTGATTTGATGTTCAGTAGAACAGAAAATTCAGTCAAGCAGATCTCATGATCCAATTCGCATATACTATAACGCGTATATTGGTTAACTCATACTCAAGAACAATACGTCTTTGACTCAATATTACATGGATATTCGAGTCCAGAACTAAATAATATTTGATATTCCAAACAATTGTTATATCAAACTGATTTATAATAAGTCTTCACATAAACACGGTACAAAATGAGGTCGGTGTTCAGTATTGCAACAGTTTTGACGGACTTTCGTAATAACAAAACACAGAAACATTGGCACGAGTCCAGACCAAGCCGCGGAAACATCCTGAACGTCGACAGATAAACCTTTATCAATTCTTATACTTTAAAGGTATTACGCCATTATAATAAATTATAGGACGTTTAAAAATATTTATAATGGCTAAGGAGAGGCTAATAACTTAGACTCGTTAAAATATCACGTTTTATGTGGCGCGTGTTAAAATAACACCAGACATGGTGCTAATGAAAAGCAATTTTTAATACCAAAAATGTACAGAAATACTTCTATTCTACGAAAATAAAAACTTAATTTGGAATAAGTTTAACAAATAATGCTGAAATACATACGAATTTATTTCGCCACAACTTGAATAGATATTGTGAAAAAATTATTATATAACATCAATCTAGAAGCTTCCATTATTATGATATGAATATAGGATTTTTTTAAAGGGGAAACTCAAGCAGAGTTCGGTTCTAACAAGTGAACCACTTGAGTGTGAATTTTTATTGATCGCTACAATGGTCGGCCCCATCTCCAAACATCCGCTGAGTTACATTCTTCACAAATCACAATTGATTCTGATAATATATAATAAAATTCACAGTATATTTCATTTCTAACTAAAAATCTTTAGTATCATTAAAATGAAACCAAAGCATAGTGTAATTTTGACTATGAAATTTTTTTATCTATACTTAAAAGCAAAATTTTATGGTCTATTTGTGATATCCAATTAACAACTTTCATTTGAATGTGTATACTATGCCTACATCAAAAATGTTATTTTAAATTGTTTTGTTTGTCTGTTTGCTCTGGCTTATCTCTAGAACCGCTGCACAAATTTTGATGGGACTTACACTCGCAGGTAAGGAATATTACGAACAGTAATTTAATTTACTGTTTACCGACTTAGAAAATGCCGTAGTTTTCAATATGCACACATATTTTTTATGCTATTACAGTTCACGTTTCAGTTCAATATTGCAAAGCTAGTTAGCCTGAAAAATATATATAAAGCCCTTTTTCTGCTAATATAGAACAAAAATCTTAACAACGTTTCTTGCCACTTGTCAAAACGTATAATAAAAATAATAATATAATCACTAAATGACTCGTTCAACGAATTTGTGAGGCAAATTCTGGTACTTACTCTTTATAATAGTAATTTCAATCAAATCTTAAAAACATTTAATTCTGTGCCTTCTCGTTTGTGGCAAAATCGTTACTTGGCTATCAAACTGACCGATCGAAAGTAACATAAGTATAAAAGTCACGTAACATCAATATCAAATTCGGTACACGTTGCCATCTGTTACGCGACCACTTGATCGAACTCGCTGCCAGGAAAGAATTTCGATTTAATTAATTGAACTTAATGATCAAAACGAAATATAAAAATCTAGAATACAGATTTAATATCGAATAAAACTATATGTATTTTTATCTTAAATTTCTCTTAAAAATGTTTACAGTTATAGGAATTCGTAATGCATCAGCATTAGAAAATTTATAGAAAGAAACTTTGAGCAATAAACATAGTGCTGGTATATTAAAACGTTTATCTTGATGCTTTCTAACATATAAGTCGAAAAGT